GAGAGCTTATATTCTTGCTCTACACTTACAGTCGAGTTTCTCTAGCCATGTCCATCTGTTGGCCTGTCTGTCTAGGCGCTCGCAGTCCGTCTGTCTGACTTTGCGTCCAGGCGTATAATTGCTTCAATCTTGAGAACTATGAGTGCAAGAGTCTTGACTCGTACGACAACTTTCTTAGTCACGTACTCGATAAGAATCGATGAAATAATCTATAAATAAAACATTGGATAATCGATGTCCATTTTTTTTGTGCATCTATAAATATCTCCCTCCAGTTTTTGATGATTATATATGATCAAATGTATGTGTTTTGAGTGTGTAAATGGTTAGAGTACATATTTTTGAGGAAAGTTAGAAAGGCAGCTTAGCTCTGGGTACAGGGTGGCTTCTAGTAGCTTAATTGCAGCTTATTTTTATATAAATTTCTTATTTATTTCTATATTTTATCTATTATAAGAATAGCAATATAAGATAGTTGGAATTAGCGCAGGGTATAGGGTATCTCCTGGTTGTTTATGGTTGTGATATTACTGTAGTTAATCCTTTTTCAATATATTGCTAACTTGTTCAAATTTTCCACCTAATGCTCTTATATTCTCTTTCTGTGCCTTTCATGCACTTTATTGATAACTTCACTTTCCTTTGTTCATATTAAAACAATTTTCAATTTCAATGCTTGCCTTTCGGCGCCTGCCCAATCACGATTTATTTACAATTTAGCATTTTGTTGTGTCGTGTTCCGGTTTGCATTTTCTTTTTCCTGGGCTATAAACTTTAATGTGCCATCGTAAAATATAAGCACGACAGAGAGCCAAGAACAAATAGCTAATGGGCCGTACGAGGGGGGGGGGGGGCTTAGCTCATATGATGCCATAATCACAGCAATGACAATGCCAAAATGTTAATGTGTCTGCTGCGCCTCTAGAATGTGAGTATGTGTGTGTGTGTGTTGCTTTTTATGGGCGGCTATAAATTAAAAAACAATTTGCGAATGTCCGCAAACTAATGAAGGCTTTAAGAAACTCAACGTTTAGCCGTCGCATTTAAAATAATTTTCAAGCATTTAAATAGCAATTAAGGATGTGTGTCCTGCATTGCACACAAAAATAATCAAAAACAATAAGAACAAAATGTACATGAATTAACGCAAATTTGCGCTTTTTTAAATGCAAATCAAAGGCAGTCAACAACAATAACAACATTTACAAAAGCGCACAACAATTATAATAAATAACCACAAAAAATGCGAAATGATTTGATGCGAAGGGTGGCCAGGCACAAAGAAAATTAATAATAAATCTCAAAATGCTCATTAACTTAATTACTGTGTTTATTTTCATTGCCCTTCCGTCCTAACGTCACGACGCTTTTCGATTTCAGCGCGTGTTTTGGCACTTTTCACTTTGTATACCCTCGCTGAGGGTATAACAACTTGGGCGCAAAGTGTGTAGCGCATAGAAGCAGATAGCTTCATTCACATTTAATAAATAATTTTTTTACATTCACATAAAATATATTTTTATAATCTAGAGCAGTATCAGCAATCGCCTCGCTATGAAAATCTTATTACCATCCGATCTACTATATACCCTGGAAATATCGGCAAAAAACTAAGGTGTATGAGAGACTTTTATATTTTTAAAGATCTCTTCAACTTGATATTTGCCTTTGTTATTCTCTTCAATTTTACATCTACAGATTAAATACTATAATCAGCATCTGGCTACTATTTAATATTGAAAAAAAAAGGTCAAAAACTAAAATAAAGTTAGGTAAAATATCTATTTTCAACATTACATTACATTATCTGGCTGCGTGAAAATTGTCTTTCAGAAATACGGCATATCTATATTGGGACACTTTTAAGTCAAGGGTATTCAATTTTCGGCGTGCCGAAAATGGCTACTCTTTCATTTTTTTTGTTTTTGTTTTTTTTGTTCCCCAGATTGTTCGAATGTTTTTGTTTGCTGCGTCACGCAATTTTTCGATGGCTCCCCTTCAGACTTGGCAGCCCGAAAATTCTGATAAGCAAGTTGGCCAAGAAAAAATAGCCCCAGAACATGAAAAAATTGCGCGTCTTTAACCTTAATGTGTATTTAAGTAATGTTAATTGTGTGCAGAGCTGCCAGCTGTCGCCAGTTGCCGCCAGTTGCTTCCATTTCGCCATTCCCGCATTTTGTCCTTCCTTCTTTTTGGATTGTTGTTTTTACCTTTTGGCACATTTTTATGTAATTATGTTAATTTTTTATTCATACCTCGCAGCGTATCTAAAAATTGTGTTCTGTTCGGCAATTTTGTTACATAATTGCTGGCTGGTTGTTAATTGAATTTCAGGTGAGAAGCGCACAGCTAGCAATTAATACAAAGCGAACCGAGGTCAGGTTACATTTCTTAGTAATTGAACATAGTTCGTGCTCATTTCTTGTTTTGTAATATTATATGACCTTTTTCTGAATTTGATAATTAAAGCTTGCTTAAATTGTCATCAAAGTGGTTTAAGTCTAAGCAAATCAAACAATATTTTATTCAGAAAAAAACAATCAATAAATGTGTTCAGGCCTTTAACTTTTATGGCTTCAAATATTATAACATTGCCAATTATTTTAACTTTATTATGAATAAAAGTAAACTTGCAATTTATTAATAATTTTTTATTTATTTTATTAGCCTTAGTATTATTAATATTATTATTATTATTGTTAGTATAAATGGTATTAATATTATTATACGTAATAGTAATTTTTAAATTTATTTTTATTTTTATTGTTAATAACCCTTTTATTATTATTTTTTTTTTAATGAAAAAAAAAACCGTTACTTGTTGAACTTGGACAATATTTTCTATTTTCTTTCAGAATCTCAGCTTTGCAATTAACAAAGATTCGCTTAGAAAAATTTGAATTCTTATTTATCATACATTCTTACGAGCTGGAAATCGATTCGTGTTCATTACTCGAATGTGAAATTTAATTTCAGTGAAAAAAAGGGATGAGGATTTCCCAAATGAAAAACCAGCACGTAATTGCACATCACAGTTGAATTTTTCATTCACTGTTTAAATCGCTTGATACCTCATGCGAAATAAAAAAAAAAATCGATCTCTTTGAGTATTTTCTGCACTGGTCAATTTTTTTTATTTGATTTTATTTATTTTCTTTTTTTGCACTTTGCAATCAGGAAACGCGGCTTAATGCCCCACAGTAGTTTGACATTATTAAAATGCACATTATACGGGTCAGCCCGAGCGTGTACGGGCATTCTGAGCTGGAAAAGCGCTTCAGTAAGCCATGCATGCATCTATGATGCATATTTACTACATTATAACCTTGAGATTTATATGTATTGCATGCAAAATCAACTGACAGATATTATACATGGGTCGTAATACTCCACGCACACACACACACACACAGGCGCACAGATAGACATGGCCTCAAAAAATGCTCTATGAAAATGGAGTAAAAACGCGTTGGCTCCGAAGGGTAAACAAAAACATTGCACGTAACCCGCTCAGGTGGTTCAAGTTCCGAACAGGTGGGGGGGCTGTTTGGTGGTTTGTTGGGCATTTGGCGTCTACTGTGGTTGCAGCTGTTTTGGCATGTTTGAAAATTCCTGGAAACAAATGTAATAAAAACTACTCGTAATATACACACACACGCATACACAGCCAAAAGTGCTCGAGTTTTTATTAGCTGCGGGCTTGAAGAGTTTTTTGACTCTGTTGGTTTTTCATACCCTTCAAGAGGGTATTATAATCTAGCCAGGAAATGTGTAACGCAAATCTGCGACCCAATAAAGTACTTTTTATTCCAGACCAGCATCGATAGCTGAGCTGGTAGAGCCATGCCCCTATAAGTCTCTCAATTTATTATTTTATGTCAAATCCTTTTTTTCGTAAATATATTTATTTCATGCTCTGCACATACTTCACTATGCTCATATATCTGCAAAAGACATTTGTCTGCAAGGGTATTGAATCTGCGGCGTGCCGAATGTATCCGTATTTTCACGTTTTTTGGTATTTTTGCGTGCTGGCCTGCACTTAAAGAGTTCTTAATGAAAGAATTTTGGTTTTATTTCGCATTTGTTGCTTGTTTTAATTTGATTTTTTAGCACTCGCTGGGATATATTTCAAATTTATGCGCCTGGTTGGCATTTTGATGGACTGCGAAAGCAAATCAAGGCAGCCGCCGTTCGTTTCGTTTTGTATAACTAAGTATTATGTATAGTATACACTGCGATAAGTCCAAATTTTGCGCCCAGAACAAAACAAAGCTTAACTCTTTAAAGTTGATTTATTTTATAAATATTCCTGTCGATTTGCCATTTACATGTGTTGCTTAAATTTACATATACAATGAGTAGCTATGCGTATATATATATTTTTAACTCAATTTATTTGCTTTTTATATAACAGTTTATTTCTCTTCATTAATCTTTAATATACATTTTTTTTTGTAAGCTATAAATAAATATGCAATTTTTGTTTTGTTTATTAATTGTTTAAATACTCGCTTTAAATTTAAATATATTTAAGCTGCATAGCGTCGGGGTTTGCTTTATTTATTTTTTAATGATATTTGTTCTATTAATATACTTCGCTTGTATATGCATTTTACAGTATTTTTTTTTTTTTTTATATATGTATGTCAAGTGTATTTGTATTTGAAATACTTAATTGTTTGCCAAACAAATAATTAACACGATATATAAGTTTTTTTTCTTCGTGATTTTAATATTAAGTAAATGATATGTATGAAGTTTTTTTTTTTTAATTTATTATTTAGTGTATATAATAATGGTTTGCTGACTTGGAACGGATGTTGAGCTGGGAAGCTGAAGAGTAGAACGTAATGGAAACTAACCAAAGAGCTTGATTTGAATATTTACTGAATATTTCTTGTGGTATATATAAGTAGTATGGATATTTTTTTTAGATATATGTGACATACACAGCCAGCTGCTGAGCGTGTGCTACGTAAACTTTTGCTATATTTTTGTTGTTGATTATTTTCGTAAGGTATATTTGAATTGCATTATATTCAGCTCTCAGACCGCTCCAGTTGTAATTAAATGTTGCTTTGCCTTAAAATTAGTTGCTCCAATCGAATACAATAATAATTAAGCATTCAATTTTGCCGCAATTAAATGTTACTTTGCACACATACAGTCTCTTCAATTATGTCCACATGGCTTAATACAAATTTACACCTAAAATCTAAAAAAAACCGCTTTGCTGTACGTTTATGTACATGTGCCATACAATTTGCCTTTGCATTACTATATATATATATATATATTTGCTTCTGATTTATAAATATATGTATATATTACATAATTCTCAGTTTAAGCTTAACTTATGCTAAGATTCAACAGCTTGAACATGCACGCGTAGGGAGTAGGAAGCCTGGTTGACTTAATATTTAGTAGCTACACAATAGACGTACTTATTTATGATATATGTTTTTTTTTTTTATCGTTCAACTTTAACTAAGCCACGTGCCATAAATCAGCACCAGCTTTTGGCATTGACAAACTCAATCAAGCCCAAACACCATCATCGCATTGCCATCGCCTCCAATTCCAGCTCCAGCTCCAGTTCCGGCTTCAGCTCCAGCACCAGCTCCATCTTCTGCTGCTGCTGCTGCTGCTGCTGTCTAATCTCTGTTGGCGCTTCGCGTCTGTGTCAAACATGTGTCAGTGTTTGTGGCAACAATGCCAGTTGAGTTTTTCCCAGTTGCCTTGTCAATGTCGTCCTCATCATCCAAAGCAGCAGCAGCAGGGTGGGCAGCAGACAGCTGAGGGAGAGTCGTCCAGATTTTCTGGTTAGCCGCAGCGCAGCTGCCGATGATCCATATATGCTGTCAATGCTCTCCGCACTAAGACTCAAATCAGCTGCGGCAGGTTTCGGCGGGGGGAGAAAATTGTGCAAAATGTTAATGGACTTGGCGGGTTGAACGACGGAAATTGGCTAAACTGTGGGCGGGACAGTTGTAGTGATTAGCTGGGCGGTGCTTACGTTAACTGGCGGCTGACAAGACTCTGCTGAGAGCTGATGCTAGAGAAAATTTATCACACGCTTAAGCAATCAGGGCTTAAGTGTCAGAAGGTCAAACTTGGTCGAGTCGCTGCCACAAACTAGCTACACAGCTGTAGTTGCTGCCTAGACTGGATACTGGCAGATATTTTACTCACAGACCTGCCTCTAGAATAACTTCCGCAGAGATTGTTACAACGTGGAGGAGATAGAGCCAGTCTGGTCAAAAATAGCTTCCGTTTCCCTGGAAGCCATAGTCTCTTTTCGACTTTCTATCAAATCTGTCTAAGCCAATACACAGAAGCTTGACATTATCCGTGCCTCGGGGTAGAGATATTTTACCTTCTATCCATATGAAAATGTCTGCCTGCGGCTTCCCAATGAATGGGCCTTGGTTAAAGCGAGTCGAGGGCCAACTGGACTGAGCTCACTTTAACTATGCTAAAGTCCTGTCATGGTTAATTTGAAAGAAATTCCATACCTTTTAAACCTAGTCCTCGCTGAGCAAGCCCACAATTAATTTTATTTCTGAACTTGCATTCAAATACACACAACTCAATTAGGCTATAAAAATAGAAAAGAACTTTCGAGCACTTTACTGCCTCCTGCTCTTGGCCACGTCTCCATTTTTGGGGGCCACAATAGAACTTATTTATGATTGTGGCCAAGTATTTACAAATCATTAAATTGCCCTGAAGCCAAACCGAGCGTGTTTATTGATATACAATTATGTGGGTCTGAGCTAGCAAAAAAACGTTTACCTGCCCCTAAAAAGTATGCTACACTTTATTCTCTTCCCTTCTTATTTGCACAACCTTTTCCCTCTTCAAATTTTCTTTTGGATTTGCTTTTTATTGGTTTTGCGGCTTGCAAATTAGTGTGAAAATCTGTTAAACATGCGGCGAAAAGCGTTCAGCTCGACAATGTCCCTAGTTTACTTTTTCTTTCTTTATTCCCGTCTCAAGTGGCCTGTTAAGCCCGTAGCTGGGGACTGGGGCTGGGTTCTGGCCTCTCGACCATAAATGCTTGAAATATGGCCCGTAACCCTAATCGGTGCGTTGCACACCCGGAACCGGAACCGAGCCAGTGCGAGAGAGAGGGGGAGAGATGAGCACATTGACTTGGCTTACCTTTTCGCTTACGGGGATTCTCGGTGTCCTCGCCGCTGTGCTCCTGCGCCCTCGACGAATGATACATTTCCGAGCTTTTCGTGCGCTTTTTACCTGCTTTTTTTATTTTGTTTTTTTTTTTGTTTTTTGGGTGTGTGGGAAATGTTGAAAAGGTATTGCGATTAAGTTTTGGCGGCTTTCAAAAGTATTTGCCCTGCTGTTTCTAATACTAGTTTATGCCTAATGCATATTTATAAAAGACTTGTCGCAAGTTTGTTGCTTTTTCATTTCCATTTCCTTTGCCGAGCCACCCACCGCCCCCTCTAAGCTGCCGGGCTGACTGCTTCACCTGTTTCGTGGCGTTGACGATTCGAAACGGATTTGCATGCCAAATGAATTATTTATGCTTTTTCTCCCAGCTCGGTTTGGTTTTTTCTTATTATTTTTTTCTGTTCTCCATTTCTGTTTTTTATGATGCCAGCCGTGCAAAGTGAAATATTTGCCGCTCATCTTAAATTTATGCCGAGTGGCTATTAAATCTCGCTTTTCTCGCGCCTGCTCTCACCCCCAACTCTCTTAGACTTTGGCTTTCCACAGATCTCAAGGGCTTGTTGTAATGTGCGAGTTTTGGAGCTCAGGTTTGCTTTCTAATACTAGTAACGGGTTTTGCTGAGAACTGAATACCATATATATGAATTAAGTAATGGAGTTATTTAAGATATTCTGGTCAAACTTTAAAGAACAAATTGGTATTATACATAATTTGCTGGCTTCACGCTTGCTTGAAACGGTAGCTATTTAATATATAATGGAAACAAATCACTTTGGCCGGCCAACTTTATTTATTTATATATTAATATTTATGCCAAACAACTCTCTATTAGCTTAATTGTCGTACTATAAATATAATTCGCCTTCACTTAAGATATGTTTCATAAAAACTTTAATATCTGTAATTAAAGCATAAATGCCTTTCGCTAAGCGGTTTTATTTTGACTCACCTTTGTGTCGCGCCTCAAAGTTCTCCACATAGTTGACGGCATTTGGTGGTATTCCTATGATGGGTCAGTTAGCATATTAGCTACGCCTAAAGTGTATTTAGTTATGAGCTCTACTCACTATATAGCTTGATGGTGCCATCTGTATCGCCCAGTGAGTTCTTGGCCACACAGCGATATGCGCCGAATTCCGCCTGCGACAGCGGATTGATGTGCAGCTTCATCGAGCTGCGATAGCCGGCGATTTCTGTAACATTTGCCGTGTATTGGCCGCCTGCGAAAATAGCAAAAGAAACAATAAATAATAAACTAATTAATATTTAATTGAAATTTTGCGTTATTTAAATAATTAAAAGCATGTCAAGCGCACGTCCCGAAATGCGGCAAAGTGGACAGAATGTCGCTGACAGGCGAGCAGGCAGAAAATTTATGCCACACTTCAGAGTCGAGAGGGGGGCGCTTGCCAGTTGAAAGATAGTGCAAATGAAATTTATTTATTTACATTTATAGCAAAATGTGAAATGAAACAAATCGCCTCTCGACGACTCGTCTCTCAGTTAAAACCCAGATTCCATGCATGTTCCAGGCAGCGTACAGAGAAACCGCTGAAGTGCGGCTGCCCCGAACCCCCTATCTGTGTGGAATATGGTGGGAACAAGGGATTCTCAAATGTAATTCGTGCTCGTATTTACTAAATCAGCTAATTAAAAACTTTTTGCCGCGCGCGAACCATGCACTCGACGGTCATCAGTCGGTTGGCTCTGCCCGGTCGGGCGGGCTGTTTTTTTTTTTTTTTTTTTTTCGTGGCGGTATCCATTGGGAACCTGACTCTGTGTGGGGCCACACATGCGGCCTGTCGCCGTGGTAATGTGTTTGTCGCGGATAATGAATTGTTAAATGATGATTTTCATTTACATATTTGACAGTCAAATGTCAGGCGTAGCTCGCCAGCGGGAAAACTACTCGCATTAGCAAAACTTTTATGTCATTTCAAAAATACGTCACTTTCAGTCAGTTCTTGACTTTTATTAAAAAAAAAAGTGACTTAATAGATGTCAATGTTTTAACTTAAAATAGTTACATCAGATTCCAATTTATATCTGAATATGAACGCAATATCAACTCAAGAAGTTGTTTAAGGAAAATTTATAAGCTAGAGCTAATTTTCTGAAGGAATATTGCAAATTAAAAGCTTAGGAATCTAGCCGCAAATAATTATTATATGTTTTATTTGACTTTTAGTAAAAAAAGCTTGTCTAGGGATAGTCAAGAACTAAATAACATTAGAATATTATCTTTGAGAATCATAAAGCAATCGCATCGAATAAATAAATTAAAATAAAATTATTCAAATATATTTTCTTCTAACCTTACTAAATTGTCAAGTGGGTGTATTTTTCGTACTACTTAGTAGTACAGGTTGTAAGGAAATTATAATTTATAATATTTAACAGAGTTTTTACTTGTTACTCGAGAATTTCTGCATATGCTTTGCATATCAATGAGTCCATTAATAAATTTATTTATGAGCGTATGAATCATTTTTTATATAAACATAAGCATAATAAAAACATAATTCATGAAATTATGTTTTATAATGTTTCACAGAATATATTTGCCGTCAAGATTCGTATACCTTTGCTTCAGTCTGTCTTATATATTATTTAGGTATTTTAAAATATACGTTCGCATAACTTACCTGGTGGCACGATTTCGCCACGTTCACGTGTCCAATAGTTGATGGATTTGGGATATGCTTCCGATTGGCATTCCAGAGTAACGCCTTTGCCTTCCACGGCGCCAATTAGTTGATTCTGCACCGTGATCATGGGTGGAACTGAAATGAAAAGATCATAAACTTAATGTGTAAATGAAAATATTACAATTTGCAACAGCTTTTCTATTTTTTTTTAGATATCTTTTATTTATTTGCAATACTTACAATGCACCACAAGTGTTATCCGCTTGCTCACTGAGGGAGGGACTCCATTTGAAGCTATGCATAGGTAGGCGCCCATGTGCTGACGTTTTACCTGGGGTATTATCAGATCCGTGCCCTCAATGCTGGGTACTGCTTAAACAAAAAAGTATTACAAGTAATGTTCTTAGTTAAGTTAATCTTTTCGCTTATTATCAGTTAAATTGTTTAACAAATAGTTGAATGTGTCAGCTTATTTAATAAACATGCATACACATGAAAAATCTTCCAATTATACAATGATAAATCCTTATTGATATCATTTAACATTGAAAGCAACGACTTGTTTGGCTTGTTAACGACCAAGCTCTTGGCAAAAATAATCCTTTCAAGCAATGTATCTACGCAATTACCAGAGCTGTAAATACAAATGTATCTACAAAATGTTTAGCCATGTAATGATAGTTATTACATTTGCCTAAGCTCTTTCATGCATTTTGTTCGCCCAACTAGTCGGCAGTTGGGTTTATATTTCGTACAACAAAAGTTGCATAGAAAAGCGAAAAACTTTTAGCGACTTCCATGATGATGCTGTTTGCACCATGCGGGGTAGCGGCCTTTAGAGGGGGGCGGTGTTGACTGTTTGGTAACTGGCAGGTCCACGCAAATATCCTGTTTTGATAGTCGAACTCGGTTTTGATACCCTCAAAGCATTGGGAATGGCAACAGATAGAAGAAGGATCGTTTGGACGGGATGGAAAATATAGAAGCTATAGTTAAAGACTTGATCTATATGTATTATCGTATAGCATACGCAGAGAAAGATTATAATTTCGTTCAATAATCTTCCTGAGCTCCAAAATATCGATTACTATCAATTTTAAGATATCGTCAGTCTAAACGTGATAAAGTAGTATAAACAGATCCAGAATATTTCACTTTTTGAATACCTTCCCGTGTATCTTTCTCTTTAACTTAACAACATATGAATTTTGTTTATATAGGCTGGAACCCTCATATTTGCACAGATTCAGCTGACATATATATGACCTAAAAATTGCATAAAGATCGGACAAAAAAGATCGAAGTTATTGTGGCAAAGGGAAGAAGGAAATAAGGTGTGCTAATAGAAGGCAGTCCAAAGTTGTTCATCGCTGGATGCAGGGCATCTTCTAGTCGTGCACACCCGACTGAAGCACTCTTGCTATTATATAAATTGCATAGTTGTAGAGTAGTTGTTCGCTAAGCCGGCAGCAGCACAGACTGCAAGTGCAACATGATGATGATATGGATATGTCCTCTATCTATCTATATAGCTGTGTGTGTGTGTGTGTGTGTGTGTGTGTGTTTGGGTGCACCGGAAGCGGAAGTGCTGGCTAGTTTGCGCTTGATATTGTTACGTATGCAACGGCAGCGGAATATATACACAGCTAATAAGCTGATTTTTCGTTTATTGATTCGCCCAGGTCACAGGTCACAGTTCCCAGTTCTAGTTCCCAGTCCACAGCACGCAGTACGACTTTAATGCCAGGAATAGCCGCATTGCTTATTAGCCGCACATTTTTTGTGCGGTCATTAAACGTAATAGCCACGAAAAACGTGTAATTTGGTTGAAATGAACAGCAAACAGTCGCGCCACGCTAAAATAGCATAAAAACTTTACTCGGGCGCCATGATTTCATTTGAGCAACCAAACCAAATAATCAAATTTCAAATGAAAAAAACAAAAAAAAATAAATAAAATAAAAAATGAACAAAAACTTTTACCCCACCAAACGGTGCTGGTAATTTTAAAACAAAGAGAACTTCACGAATGCCTGAAATAGCGCCCTCAAAATACGCTACCAATCACATGCGATATAATATATTTTCAATAATATGGACATGGATTATGCCCCAAACTATGTTAGCTACAGCTATTAAATCTTATTGAATATTTTTATTTTTTGACCTATTGAAGTTGTGGTAGATATTTTTTGAAATAACCTAATTCTACTTAAATAAAAAGTACTTCATTTGTTAAATCATTTGAAAAATAAATCTCTTATATTATGTGAAATACTATTTTAAATACATACTTTTATTCTAATAAATTTATATATTTTGTTTATTAATTTAAGACATTTATTTATAATTTGTTTTAAAGGATTACAGCAATAACTCTCACATTATTTATTTTCATACTTATAATTAGCTATTTTTTATCACATGAAAATAAATATCAGAATCTACTAATTAAATATGTTATATATTCCTAATTATCTCGCATATATATATTTTTTTTAAATATCTCTAAACGTGCACAAACTTTCTACTACATAACTCCGATGAGAATATTTTTTTTTAAATATTTTTTAACTCTCAGTCTCTTCGTCTGAGTTTTTTGTAGAATAATTCCAAAGTCTTATTTGACTTTTTTTTGACTAGAAATAATATTGCGTTATTCTGATATAACTGAATTCCATCTTAAATTAAAAATGATTAATGTTTTAAATCAGAATGGAAATAAACATATTTTTTTGAATTTCTGAATTTTTTAAAAATTTGAATTTTATAAAATATATATACATTGTATTCTATCAAAACTTCTTTAACTCTTAGTCAAATGTAAAATATGTTTAATCTATTTCATAAAATGTTGAGAATTATGCTGTAGAAAACTTTATCTACGTATTAGCATGCAAGTGTTCTTGAAATTTTATAAAATGAAATAAAAATATTTTAAAATTTTTGGTACTAATTATTATAATCATGCTCATTAAAAACTGTTGCCTTTCGACTGCACTAAACGAACTCCCTTATTATGTTACAAGCATTATGATAAAGTCATTAAGCTCATGAGCTACCCAAACACATATCGCGTATTAAAAAGCATTGCCGGCGCTTCAATGGTCCAACTGGACAGCCCTCCAGTGGGTAGCAGACATTTAAGCCCCAGTGAAAAGGTCATTTTGCCAACTTTTGTACTATTAATGCTGTTTTTTGTTTGTATTTTTTTATTTTTATTTTTTGACTGGTTCGTTTTTTCTCTTTCGTTTCAGGGGTCTACATTTTTTGCTAGGCCACCTTTGATTTTGGCCTTTCGTGTGGACTTTGATGGGACTCGACCTGTTTATGCAGCGTAACTCATGCAATGGACTACACTGAGCGAATGTTGTGTGCGCGAGAAGAAATGAATAATCCTAAATGATTTCTTTGAATTAATGAGTTGCAGCTTAAGAGCTTTGTAAATGCTTCAGTGAGCTAATTAAAATTTAAAGTGCGCGTCAAGTGTGGAAAGAGATGCAAAAAAAGTTAAACGTGTGCATTCAGGTAAGACATTTGAATAAAAACGAAAGGAAAAACTCTGAGATGCTTAGAATATTTTGAGCAGAAACCAAAACAAAGATAAATAGATTCATAGATAGATAAATAGATTGATAGACCGACAGATATGTTTGGTATATATCAATAGGTCTCTGTATAAAAGTACTCATGGGGTTTTCATTTGATAAAAATGTCATATTTTGAGAGTATTAAAAAGAAGTATTCGTGAGTGCATTCATGACTGTATACATAGGGTATTCATTAGCTTGTACATAATCAATTTAAAATAAGATTCACAACGCGCACTTGGGTTTTTAATCCCCGCTCGCAGACTTTTGCAGGCGAATCAGAAGTGCAATAGCTGGCACGTTTTGCCCGCCTGCTGACCATTCGCTAGCTAGCCACTCGCTAATTCTGTCAGTGCAGCCATCAAACGTCATCATCAGTCTAAAAGGGGGATGGAATGGGGTGGGTTTGGGTTGGGTTGGGTGGACTGCATCGACACACTCGCAAAAATATGCAGGTTGAAAGCTGGTTGGAACACAGGTGCGCTCCTCAGGTGCTTTGGCCACGTAGCACGTACCCGCTGCTGGCTGTGCACTTGTCTGGCGAGGCCATAACCCAGTCGTTGGCTGGTCCGCTGCTGGCGTACGCTACCTTTTTGTGTAAAAGTACTCCAAAAATGTTGGCTGGCAAACCTCATGCAGCAGGCGGTGGCAGCAACAGCACAACAGCAAAAAGTACTTACCACTCACTCATACACACACGCGCGCACACACACACACACACACACACACACACACAGAGTGAGAGAGAGAGAGGGAGTCATGCATGCATATGACCATGGTGATACTCCAAACCGAAACTTACCCTCCTCGCCGTTGGCCAACTCGATGGGCACTCCACTTTCACGTCGCCATGTAATTGTCGGCTCTGGTGAACCGGTAGCAGCGCATTTGAGCGTCACGTTACTGCCCTCCCGTACGACCATGTCCGTGCTTGTAGGATAATCTAGGATATCCGGCGGTACTGCAGCGGCAACAGCAGCAGCAGCAGCAGCAGCAGCAATCGCGTTGCCATTCCAATCGAGGCCGCCAGACGGTCGTCGTCGTCGTCGTTGTTGTTGTTGTTGTTGTTGTCAGATAATGTTTATAACAAATATATTCAAAAAGAATAAAACCAAAAAAAAAAAAATCACATGAAAAAAGAGAAAGAAAGAGAGAGAGAGAGAGGGAATATGAGCTGCATTGTCATGTTGTATTTTTTAAAATACGTATTTAAAATTTGTACTTTATATTGCATTTAAATAATTTGCGCTCATTTTTCACTCAGCTGGCAATCTGATTCATATTCATGTGTCCCCAAAGATATCCTTGCAAATGAGCGCTTGTCGCCGCCTTTGTTTAAAGGACAAACTTTTCATTTGTCTCGGCGCCGCAACAACCAAAAAAAAAAAATAATAAATAAATAAAAAATGAAGATTAAATAAAATAAAAGTTGGAAAAAAAGTTATATATGCACGTAATATAACCACGACCACAGCGGCGAATGTTTGTGCCCTCAGCGAAAAACCTATGAACCAGAGGAAAACGTAATAATGCCAAGAGAATGGGGCGCCTGTTGTACGTGTATAATATATATATATGTGTGCATATAATATGCCGCAATTATGTGGTTCGGTAAATGACCAAAAAATGTGCTGGTGTTGACAAACAGCTTGTTATATGTGGGGCAGGTGTGGCGGCGAGCGGGAGAGATAGAGAGAGAGAGAGAGAGGGCGAGAGAGAGACGGTTGCCGAGCAGGAAGAGCTCGGACGTATCCAACTGTGCGCTGAACTGCGATGACCACTGAACGGTCATTAAGTGGCCAAGGTTAGGACTGAAAGGGGCAGCCCGAATGACAAAGGGATAGATTTTGACGGAGCTTGCACCGAGCTGTAGTTAAGGGTGGACTTTGCAGGGGGAAGCAGGGCAATGCAAATAAATGTGCTACGATTGCATGGGGTTGAAGAGTATATTAGACATATTGTCAGGCAATATGCCCCGAACATTTAATTCCGCAACACTCGAAGAAAAGTATGAATATTCGCTATTCATTCAATTAAGGAAACTTTTCAAATTGGATATTGCCAAGTTTTAGGGAGGGGTTTGAATACCAGGCTGAGATCTTGGTTTTTTATAAATTTTTTAGCATAAATAAAATCTATATTAATAGTATTTAAAAGAAGCATATAATTAATAATATATTAATTTTAAATAATTTATGCATTAAAAATTAATATATTTTTTCCAAGCGTTGCAAGTAATTATTATAGATAAAATTTATTAATTTTTTATTTCACCACGTTTAAACTGTACAAATTGCATACAATTCTTGCTTCTCTCCTTCCATTTCAAATGTCAAATTTTTTGTTTTGTACAAAAATGTTGCTGTCAAAAATTTGAATGAAATTGTGTTCAAAAATCTCGAACTGCAGCGCTCTATGCAAATCTCATCAGCTTAAATGCTGGTCAGAGCAAAAATCCGTTGTATGGGTGCGCGTGGATCATACACATTTTGTCATTTGGTATATATGTCTGTGTGTGTGTGTGTGTGCGTGTGCGTGTGTGGGAAACGGCATTCAAACGGACGGAGCTGCCAACTGTGCGCCCGCTGCCGTTTGTCGTCGGCTGTTTAACTGCACTTGGTCACGAAAATCATCAGCGCCCGCAAAGGCGACTCAACTCTACCCCCTGCCTGCAGCCGCTCCACCCATCCCCCCTCAGCCAGAAAAAAATGCTGTTCGTTCCTTTTCCTGTTGCGCTGTGGTGCTGTGGTTGGCTGATTATCCACTGCAAATACACACAGTTGATTATACTTTTTCGTGTTTGGCGCCAAGCCCCGACTGCATGGTGGCTAAAATATTTAGCGCGTTGATTTAGATTTGCCAGCGAAAGGTATTTAGGCAGCTGTGAGTCGAATGGGGCTAGTGTTAGCCGGTGGCGCGCAGTGTGTGGGTTCAGTTTGAAGACCGCAAATGGACAACTAGTTCGTATTCGCAGTTGCAGCCGCAACGGGCCGCCAGGCCGGACGCATTTCTTACGTCTGCTTCGCTCTGTGCGCCGTTTTAATTCAAAATCAACAATTTCTGCGGTTCAGCGGACGGTTAAACATGTTTAAGCAGTCGCCATAGCGGTGCAACGCGGATAACCAAGGGGTGTTTATGCTGTGGGGGCAGTGACAGGAGTGGGCGTGCCCACTCGATGTTCCGCTGGCCCCGCCCTGTGCATTAGCCAGCGAAATTTCATAAACCATGAAACGAACTCAATTCCGTTCTTGCACGGCCGCGAAGCGGAAACGTTTTGTTGGCACCGCGGGCGGATTTATATATATTTATTCATTTATTTCGAATACCTATTTTAAATACGATAAAAAGGGTATATTCGTTGGCAGTTATAAGTAACTGGCAATGCTGGCAATACTCTGTTTTTTCTTTAGTGGCAGACCCCGATTTTTTAAACGACTCTCAGAGTGAGTAAACAGATATATACTTTGGCCTTACTAAGTATATACTTTTGGCTACCCTATTTACGGCTTGGTAATTGCATCAAGATCGAACAATAAGGACCTATTCATTTGTGTAAGGCAACTAGAATGCCCCTTGGAGTGAGTAACAGGGTATATGTTAGTCGGGCACGACCAGCCATGCATTTCTATTTGATTTATTAAGTTTTTATTCGTGGAGAGCCAAGTGCGAATACCGGCTCGAACAATGCAACCGGCGCTGTGGCAACGAGGCGTATGATTGTTTGACAAACGAAATGGAAAAGGCAAAGTTGTTTTTTTTTCGTATTGCATTTTATATTCTTTTTTTTGCCGCGTTGCCTGATTTTTGTCTTCTTCTGCACACTTACCCACAACGTCCAGGTAGCCCATTTGACTTTTCATTGGATCCGTATTTATTTGGCACATGTACCTGCGAATATGTGATAAAACAGGTGCATATCGTATTTCAGGCTCAATTGAATCGCATTCTTCTTACCAGCCCCTATCCGACTCCTTGATGTCCCTGATGCGCATTGTCCAGGTCTTGTGCTCCGAGTTGGCAATGCCGATCCGTTGATTTTTGGTTATAACATGATTCTGTATGGTCAAAATTGTTTGTGTATCGACTCGCAGCCACGCAACCTGTTTGGGAAAGTTAACAAACCGCAGTGGGCGTGTCAGTGGGCGTCTAATTAGCAGTTAACTATTCTTGGGGCACAGTGTGGTCTATTTGTGTCGCCAGGCAGAGTTTTGTCTAAATGAAACTTTTGAAATTTATAACAGACAACAGCTGCTGAAGAAGTCTTGTCTATTCATATATTCATATTGATTTTGTTTTCAACTAAATTGTTAAGCTAATTTCTTTTGATTAAACAATAAATATTTTTCTCTAATCTACAAAAGGCTCAGAGCAATATAAATTATTGTTATCTTTCAATATTTGTATTTTAGTCTATTCCTTAAATGTTTATATTCAAATTCGACTATTTGAGTTGAATTATTTTTAAAGTTTCCTTTTCTTTCGTAAAGAATGATTGAGGACTTATCGACTTCGACTCCATCTGCATTGTTTAAGCAAATATTACTTTCTGTTTACGCAGTTATATTATATTTAAACTAGTTGCGCGCATTATAATAAATATTAATGCATGAATTTTAATTGCAACAATTTAACATAAAGAATATATAATTAAAGGTCAAATAAAAATCCAGAGAGTGGAACATCTGCGGCAGATGCCGCAAATTTAATACATTTTCATTTAATATCAGACATTTTCAATAAACAATTATATAAGTGTTCCTTTGCAGTGGAAGCTTTGCTTTCTATTCTAGTAAAACAAAACGAATATTAATATAAAAATATAAACATATTATATTATATTGATGTACATTTATAGACAAATACTAATATAAATAGGTATTACTATTAGTTTTGTTTTGTTTAACATAACATAATAAATTTTAATTAATTGCAAAATGAATATATTTTTCATTTAAGGTATTCTTTCTTCAAATATATATATATTTTATATAGCTATGCATAACCCTACCATTAGAGAGTCCTGAGCATGCACTTCGGCACAATTATCCAGAAAATCTATTCCAAGAACTATTTCTAAATATTTTGCCTATGAAGCTTAAGTAGCTGGTTGGTTTGTCACGCACACACACACATACTCAGACACACTCACACACACACACACACACACACACATACACACTTGGCAGTAATTGTACAATTACGCGGTTAAATTATTATGCGATAAAGCACGCAGCATGCAATCTGAGCCTGCCTCGGGTATATATGTGTATGTATATTTGATATTTAGTTGTTAGTCGTCCAGTTGCCGAGTTCCCAGAAATTCCACAACCCTTTCATACAACACTTTGCATGTGTAAATGTGACGGACGTTGGGAAACAATTTGAGGACTCAGCTGAGCGGACATGTTAACACGTGAAGCTATTTAGGCAATGTCGATTTCAGCCGACAGATATATATAAATATATGAATATATATATATATATAATGGGCTGACATATCGATGGCTAATGAATTATTTAAGCGGACATTACATTGCATTTAACTTTTGGGTCTAGGTAAACCGAAAATACTGTCAGCATAAAATAAGTAATTACACCCAAGTGCCTGCTCAATTATCCTTGAGCAGCATAACGCTTAATTGTCTGAGTTGGGGTTGGATTTTGAGGGGCTTGGCTTAACTGGGGGCTGTTGATAGAACAAAGCTTTGCGCTTTGAGGCGCACACCTGGCCCACAACCCAGCCAACCCACAGACAGACATTAACTGAAACGATGATGAAGCATGCCCCGACCCCTAAATGCCAACCCCCAAACGACGCAACCCCTAGCCCTAGCCCTAGCCCAAGCTCAAGCCTGAGAGCTACCTTCCCCCGTGTCTGACACATTCGCATTCATATTTCAATTACTTTTTATGTGATTTTAGCTTTTGTTATTGCTAAGCTCCTGCATATTTCTGTTTCTGTTTATGTTTTTATTTTCACTTTCATTTCCATTCAATTCGTATTTGTTGTCGTTGTTTTGGGTGTCGAGATTTGGTCTTTGAGATTACGACTCCAGCCGTCTGGCTGGAGGTAAACTGCTAATGAATATTAATGCGACCGGTTGGGTTTTTCTCTGGCTGCTTATTGCGTGTGTAATTGAGCTGGTTGGCGAGGAGGTGAGAAGGACACGGCTCTTGGCTCTGTTTGTATAACGGTGAGGGGAATATCTCACGTACCTTATATGGGCCCAGATCCTGTACGACACATGTGAGGAAAGCATCACGTCCCACTGGCGCTGTCACATTTGCGATTGGATAGCTAAATTTGGGATCAACTGTAATCAAAATAGAGCATTCATTTTGTCACATTAATAATCTGTCCGAATCAATGTTAATTGGCATATAATGGAAAGAACAAAAATATATACGATAACAATTGAGTGCGCCACATGTGAAGCCAATTATAACGAACTGTGTTGGAATCTTTTTATATTTTATTTTATTAAGCATGTGTATTAATCGTTGTGTGTATTTAATGAAAACAGTTCATATCAGATATTTATTATGGTATTAATTGCTGCATTTTTATGCAACGTTTTAATCCATTTTCCATCCTGCTTTTATTTTGTATTCTTTATGCAAAATTATCCTGTGATTTGTTTAATCTTCTTTAACTAAGCATATATAGAAATATAATTTGGGCTAATTGCCTATTTAATTTCTAAAGTTAAATAGAAAACTCCATTGACTATAGTTAACCACAAATAAATTACTTTAATCATTATATTGTTTATTTCTCTTTTAAGGTCAAATATTCTTGATAAATGATGAGACTTGAGACTAAAAGTCTGACTGACAGACTGATAAACATGTAATTTTTAAATCGATCAGCTTCAAATTAGTTTTACAAGATATAAAAGATACATTTTTGGAGCTGAGTCTGACATAAGGTTTTCTAGGATGTCTAAACTAATGTTAGGCTTTCGTTTATTCAAATTAATTTACAAAACTCTCAAAATATATATGCATGCTTTAGTATTTAGAATGTATACATGTTCTATAATTTATAAATAATTATGCTCAATTATTTTATATGGAATATCTAGAACGATTTGTTCAGCAACTTTTATGTTTGTTCCACAGAGAGCGCGTATTATGGAGTTATTTATTATGGATTTATTTCAAATTTCAAAAGATATTTTTATATGAAAAATTATTACTATTAATTTTGTTTTCAATTTCATTATTATAGAGCATTAACTTACCAATTACTTCGGCTGGCACATCGACTCTTTGCAGGTTGCATTTCTGGCACATGAATGTGAGCAGCATGAAAATATTCACTGCATACGCCCAGGCGTTGGCCGGCCCGAATCTTTGAGTATGTCTTATGGACATTTCGCAGGTCAGTTAAACACTTTTTCTTTACCAGTTTTCTTGAATTATATATTTTTTATTGAAACACATTTCACATGATGCATTTAAATGACAATCGCAGCTGTTGAAGTAACTGATGGCAATTGGAGTTAGACAGGATAGGAAAATGAGATAGACATTTATTATACCCGATTTCGAGCGCTGTTTTTTTTTTGATCTTTTAAATTAATTTTATTAAAGATAATTTTCTCTATGTTGAAATGCTTAATTTGTTTCTGATCGCAAGCTCAGAGATAGACCAGCAAAAGTCCCGCCTGTATTATAGAATCTCTTCCCACTCCACCCATTTCCCAGCTTATTGCAATGCACGATTAACTATTTCAACTAATTCAACTGAGAATATGGTAAACTTGAACTCCGGCAGGAATGCAGCAGCAATAGGCAGGGGATCAGTGACCCAGGCCCCCGGCTATTGTAAACAGCTGCTGTTGGCTTGGGTCATGTTAATTGGCAGTCATTAGCGCGCCTCTCTCTCTCTATTGGCATAAACTTGGACCGGTTGCCGTTTCCGTTGCCTTTGCTGTTGTTGTTGTTGTTGTTATTTATGCGTAAAGTTCAACAAAAGTACTTGAAAATCGTATCGAAAGTACAAAACAATGCTGTAGTCGGGCCGGCCAGCAAGTCAAACAATAATCATGACGTCGAAAATGCGCTAAATAACAAAAACAAAAACAACAACAACAATAATAAAAAAAAAAGTTTCAAGTTTAAAGCGCCCACTGGGCCCGGATTCCCGCTACCGGTTGCAGTCCAGCTCCAAGCTGTAGTCCGCATTGAGTTTTGCGTGTTTGGGCTCTGTAAATTGTATAGGCGAGCAGCTGCTAGAAATTAACTGCGACCTGCAACTATCTGGCGAAGGTGTTGCATGTTGCCTGAGGGGACAGCAACCCCTCTCCACAGTGCCTGCTGCCTGCTGCCTCTGTTCATTTCAGCTCGCCTTTGCTTATAGCATTTAAACATAGCCCGGGGCCAAAACTGTTTATGGAACGGAAATGAAATGTTTCGTTTGTGCCGCATCGTGCACATGTGTGTGTCTGAGTGTGTTTGCCGCACGTTTGCAACGTGCGGCTCGTATAGAAAGCATTAAATCGTGCAGCACTCCATATGAAGTTGCAGTTCGTCTGAGTTGAGTCTGAAATAGTTGCGCTTTATAATTGCAGTCGCCAATTCTATTGGCCATTGCCATTAGGCCGAGTGCATGTCACATGTTTGGCTGATATAGCCCAGCTCTGACGCAATGCAGTTGCGATTGGTTTTGGCCAACCTAAGAGGATTTCACTTGATGACATTTATAAAATTATAATTCCCAAAAGGAAATTTAGCCCAAAATGTTAATTTGATTTACTTCACTTTGCGAACGTTTGCAGTCGCGCGTTTGAGTCATTAAAGCGAACTCAAAAAGGCTAGAGTTTAAACATGCTCCAAATAAGTCTTATAAGAGTCATCTTAACAGCTGACTATTTATGGCTGTATTAAAGCTAAAAACAAATGCAAATATTAATAACTAAATTAATAAATATTGATACTAAAATTGACAGCTAAGTAGACCTTAGTATAACTCGCAATTAGAATTAGTTTTTTAATATAATACAAATTTTAAATAATCTTAAATAATTTCTAGCTCTACTTCGATATTAAATTGAAAAAGCTCACATACTAACAAAACCTACTACTCAATTTTTTATTTTATATATAATTTAATTTATTTTTTCATTTTTGCATGTGAGTCGGTTATGAAGCTAAACCAAAATAACTCTCAATTGGCATTAAAAGTCGTGTTTCTGTAGGCCGCAACTGACAGAAACAATTTTCAAATGACATTTCATTAAAATTCTTTTTTTTTTGTCTACTTTCTTTTTCTTACGATTTTGTTTTTGTTTTTCATTTTTGCTTGTATATTTATTGATTTTCACCTGCAATTGAAGGCAAAGTTTCTCGTGTGTGTCCTTTGTTCACGCTGCACGTCCTGGCCTAGCCTGGCCTGGCCTGTTCTGAGGTCGTGTCAGCTGCCCTGAAAACTCGACCATACAAGGCAACAACAGACAACAGACAACAGACTACACTAAAAATGTCTACTAAATAGGCCCAGCAATATTATTAATAATTTAGAACATGCCGCCCATGTCAGTTTAGACGTACATTCAGACAGCTAGCCAGGCAGACAGACGGACAGACGGACAGCCGCTTGGCTTATGCTAATACCCTGGTCTATTTTTCTTGGAAGTATTGCCCATGTAAATCCCATTTACCAGCTGAAGCCGTAGCAAGCTCTATGCGTCGCCTGTGCGAGTGTTTGTTTAGCTAATTGCTGTTATTTTTTTTGTTTTTGTTTTATTAATGCGCGTAACCAGAAATTAAGCAAAATTTTTATGTAGCAGAAGTGAGCTTTCAAATAAAAATAATTAAATTAATTCAAATTATTATTATATATTTTTTTTTATTATATTTACATTCAATTACTAATATTTTTATATTCTTTATATTTATATATTTATTTATGTATATTTATATTTTCTTTTAAGAAAAAAGACAGCCATGTTTCAATTGTTACACACACACACACACACACGGTCAGCTGTGTTTTTCCGGGCAAATTTATGGCTCATAATAAGCGCTACTCATGGAATTTTGTATATTGCATTGTTGAGGCTCGCTTGGTCGTATATTTTGTTTATCGTTTCGGACATGCAAAGTCGAGAGGTCCAGTTCGGACCGGGTCTGCGGAGGGGGGTTAGCCCCCCTAACTATTGGCCACAATTTGTATAATCAGCTGTTAAATTATGTGCAAATTGTGTGCAGTTGGTGTCCACAAGTATTGCGATTGTCATAAAAAGAAGAAGCGCACATTGTGCCACACCGGCTGTTGCTGTTTGTTGTTGTTGTTGTTTTTGTCATATGGAAAAGCCGCACAAGGTCAAACAGACGCATGTTTTTATTTACATACGCTGCGCGTGTGGCCGTGTGCCTGAGGCTATGCAGCAGAAAACTAAAGCTGATGCAGATGCTGCTGCACTCGCACTGCACTAGCCAGTGGCACTTGCCACATGCTCGTGCCGCATATAAATGTACGCATTGGAGTGCAACATTTTCAATTTTCAACACACACATTAATTAGCACGTGATATATTTCGTTTTTATCGCGATGCAACTTCGACATTTTTCAAACAAAATTATTATTTTCCCTGAGCCCAGCTCGGCCCGGGCAGAAAATTAGCATACTCTATATATCAAAATGTATATGGTATGAAATATTGCTGGTCGGCGCCTTCAAGTATGCAATGTTTTGCTCCGTTTTTTTCTGCTAGCACCCTTCCTCCAGCTGCCTTCAGCACGGAAGTTGATTATTATCGCTTGTTATTAACAACGCCAACAGCAACAACAACAACAACAACAACAACAACAACAACAAACACGGGCTGGGCATAATAAGCCAAGAGCCGGCCTGCATTTCTTGCCACATCATGCCAAAGCGCGTGGGTGGGCAGCAGGGCGGGGCGGTGCGGGCCAGCTCTTTGCCATTATGTCAAAGTACTGGCTCGAAATTTTCCGATTCCAGTTGCGACTTGCCAAGCTAGCTGCGTTCCTGCCACTGAAATGGAGACTGTGTAATTTGCCATTGATATGAATTTGCGTGTGTGAGTATGTGTGTGTGTGTGTGTGTAGCCGAAGAGGTGCCTTTTGCGCTGAGTGTGTGTCTCAATTGAAAACAAAAGTCTGTATAAGGTAGACAGCCTTAAAAGTGAACTACATTATTTTAACACACTTAACTTTTGATTAGAAAAAAAAAAACTATTTTGCAAAATTTTATTGTTACTTAAGCATAGGAAATTCAGGATTTGCTTAAGCTTAACAAAAGTCACGTTTTTCATTAGCTTCAAATATTGTTAAGAAACACGAGAGAAATCAGACGAGAATAATATATATATATAAATAATAAAATTAAAAATTGAATTTCAAGTAAAAAATTAATGGAAAATTTCAAAATGAATAACAGATTAAAATATCAATTATCAAATTAATTAAAAAAAAAATCAACATCAAATTACAAAACAAGCAAGAGAAAATTAAATAAACAAAACAAAATAAATAGATTTTAAATTTGAATATTTATCAATAAATTTATATTCGAAAATAAAAAGAAAATTATAATAAAATCTAAAAAATCAAAAGATGTTTTTCCAATAGTTCAAAGCGTGACAAATTTCTTTCTAACATCAAAAAAAAATTTATAAATATGCATTTGTTTTTGTTTATTGCCAATTTGTAATTATAATTACTTTGTGTTCTTAGAAGTGTTGTTAGAAGACAAACGACCTTTTTTTTGCAGTAGTTCAAAGAGTTAAAAATTCGAATGAGTATTGAAAATAATTTATATGACTGGTTTTGTTATATGTTATTATTGTAATTTGTTTTTAAATTTTAGTTATTTATTTAGAAGCACTTGGCATTTAAATATCTTATATGCTATTAATTGATTGATTAATTAATTTATCTATTTATTTATTATTTAGTTTATAAATAATTTTAATTATTTATTAATGTATTGTTTTATGTATCTATTTATTTATTAAAACACTTTATTTACGAATATATCATTATATTTTAATCCCAAAATCCTAGCAGCTGGTGCTCTCTAATATATTTTAGTTTAATAATTTCTGGCTTATTTTTACTTCAACAAGTAAATATGTATATAAAATGTATCCTGTTGAAGGGAACTGGTCTATAAAACCCTTTATATAGCCAGCTTATTGCCAAGTTCAAGACTCTTAACTATGTTTTCTAAAGTTTTGTTTATATTAACTTTTGTTGGATAAGGCACAAATCTGACCGTCATCTTTTTTATGAACATTTTGAGCGTCTAGAAATATTTTTAGCACAACTGCAGACAATTTTGTTTGGTTTGGGAAATATGAATATTGTAATCATATGCCACATTTCGTGTATAGCAAACAGCATATATACCCTATTATTATGAAACTGATTGCGTATCCGGAATGGGTTTGTTTTTGTAATTGAATTATGCATGGCTCATGTTGGTCTGAACGATGCGATTATTTGAAATCGCATTTCCTTTGCATGGCCGCATAGCAGGCAGAGGTGAGTGGCACCTGGAATCACGACCCCACACCCCTTGCGACACACCCCACAAAATCCAATGCGATCGCAATCAACTCGATAGCGAGTGGCAACAATAAAATGCAGACAAAGTTTTATGTAAAATGCAAATGACACGACAAGTGGCAGAGGCCAAAAAAACACATGTGCTCCCAAATGTCCAAAGTTGGGGCCAAAAGCAAAAATCTATCAAGCGCTGGGCAGACCAAAAGTATGTTTGCAACAAATGTTGTAATAATGTGGCAGGCATATGTATCTGCTATTTAACTGTTTGTGTGTAGTCTAGTGTAGTTATGTTGTTGGCCATTTGCCGGCTTCGTTAGCGAGTGCGGTTTATGGATATCAATGAACTTTAAATTGCAGTCAACATGAAATATGCAATTGCAATTGTGCACGCCTAAAACCATGCAACACATGTGCCATGGGGCATGAGGCACTGGCAATAAACAGCAGAGCGCCAGACACATTTATAGGCAAATTTCATATTTCATATATACGACGCACACATACACACACACGTTCATATATAAACATCAAAAACACGCGCGAATATGACTATTGACCGTCTCCAGTCATTTGCGTGTGTGTATGTGTGTGTGTGTGTGTGTGTGTGGTGGGTGGGTGTGGCAGGCGGCACTGTAAGCACTGGCATAAATAACATGGCTTTAGTTTTTCATCTTGCTTTTCTTTTTAAATATAATTACAGTTAACACGCAGCCGAAACATTCGCTAACTAAATTGCCAACAAGCGGCGAAAAACGCGCGCGTTTTCAGCTGATGCGCGTCTAAACACGCGAGCGAAACGCTTGTTAGTAGCGTGTTTCAACTGGCGCTTGTTTCTTGTTGTTGTTTTTTTGTGTTTCTATTGTTGTTGTGCTGCATTTATGCAACTTGTTGTTAATTACTTATTAATTATGCCAGAGATTTGCACACTTTTTTCAGGTGAATTTCAGCGTTAATTTTGATTTTGAGCGTTTTGTTAGCGTTGTATTAACCGCATTCTGACAGCGTTTCATAACACATTTGCCTTTGCTTGACTTGATCAGCAGCAACAGTTTGGGCAACACTCGAGTTAACACGATTTTCGCCAGCTTCTCGCGTCGGCAGCAAAAAACACAACCGTTCGCCCCGAACGTTGTCGTTAGACTGAAACTGGCGGTCGCAGCGAATGCCGCACGAAGCAGCGCGCCAGCGAGCCGAAGACATGTGCATGGGACACAGCAAATCGTTGTTCACCGTTGCTGGCGCTGCTTGGCTGTCGGGTTGCTTAACGGTCGGGTGTTGGTGGGTGGTGTGGGCATGGCATTTACCGGTGGCAGTTGCGTCGCGAACGAATCAGACAACTGTGATTTTTGTTGTTGCTGGCTACATTTTATTTGGCTTTTTGTTGGTGGCCGCTCGTTTCACGTCTTCTTTTTTCTAACTTTTGGTTTTATTTGTAATACGAGAGTGTGTGTGTGCGCGCGCGTGTATGTGTGACTCTGTGTGTGTGTGTGTGTGTGTGTGTGTGTGTATGAGACAATGCTGGCGCGCTGCCCAATGGGGGGTGGCTGCTGAAACTCACCACAGTTGAACGAGAATTGAATTGAATGCCACTCTTGTGGGAAATTTGCTCTGCATACTTTACGTGAGCGCGGCTTTTCGTGAATTTATGAATGAATTTCTGTCTGTATGGCGCTTGTAAAACAGTTACATGTGAGTATTGCTGTTGTTGTTGCTGTTGGCGAGTGCGTGTTAAGCAGAAATTGATTGTCATTGGTCATGGCATTGGCTGGCGGCACAGCTGCTAAAACTAGCAACAAGAGTTGCAAATCTGATAAATAAGACCCACTGTTGTTGCTGAATCCTTCAAACTAACTGCATTACTTAACCAAAAAATCAACGCTTAACAACGGCACACCGAGTTCCAAATACCCTTGAGGTGCTTTTATACTTCGTTGTTAATTGCATTTCTCTGAAGTGGCTATTTAATATAAAAGTTTAATTTGAGAATGTTCTCCAGGTATGTTAGGCACAAGATGAGACTCTTAATTGCTGAGCTTGTCGCAGAACTCATAAGGAAAGAAGGGATTTCGACACAAAAACCATATTTATAGAGCTTTTTTTGGACAATTGTCTATGGCAGAGTTTTAAGGAACTTAAACTTGGTTGCATTCAAAATACAGCTATCTCGTAGTAGAAAGCAATTAAATATTTTAATTTATTTTTAATTTGGCTAAAATGTTATGTGAAAATTTGCATCATGTTAATGAACACGACTTTCCTACATTCATTATGAAAATTCTTTAAAAATTGATAACAAATAATGTAGCATTGATAACCCTGCATATCTAGAATACTGTTCTAATCAATTTTGTCACTTATAAATATTTTAAATTTTAATTGTACTTAATAGAAAACAACCTCAGATCTCGTTAAACAGTTTTCAATATGTGCGCCAATAAGTATGCTATTATTTTTTATAGTTCGCACTTTTAATTAATTTTATGCCCAGCTGAAGGCATTCACGACATAAAAAACAAACTTACGTTGGGCAAACACACAAACACACACACACACACACTCGCACTTGGTAGACGCTTTTCAATAACGGTATCAGATTGTGTCAGGCACCGCTTGGCTGAGTTGGAGTTACCTGTATAGTCCCCCCCCACCACCTTGCTCGGCGCCTCATTTGCCAACTTAATTGCGCACATATATCAGTTTTAGTTGCATGAGGCGGGCGGCTAATCAAACCGCCCACGCCGCCCCCCTCGCAACCCCCTCGCTGCTGGGGCATGGTTAGCCTATCATTTTCACACAACACACGCACAGGGCCAATAAATAATGGAAAACAAAAACCCAAAAAGAAAAAAGAAGTTGAAAAAACAAAAAACAAAATAAAATCAACGACTGCAGCATAAAAATTATTGTTATGAAGCGAAAATGTTGAAAAGGATATCCGCGTCCGGCGACGTCGCCGTCGTCCTCATCATGGGAACTGCTCCTGTCCTGCTCCCGACCTGATCCCGCCCTGCCGCAGCTGCTGCTCCATTCAACTTTGCATTGCGTGCCAATGCACTTGCGCCACAAATCATTTTGGGCTGCAAGTGCGGCGGGGCAAAGGGTTAGCCTGCCTGGCAGGACACCGACGCCGGCTACCCTAGCCCCGACCTCGCCCCGCACAGCACTTGTTTTCAAGTTTCTTTCGCTTCCTTGGCAACTTTTTGTGTTGCTTCCCAGTTTAAGTTGTTGTTTTGGTCCCGTTTTCGGGTAGACTAATATAAATTTTGACACCTGATAATTGCTTTTCAGTCGCTTCCGCGTTCTGCGACGACGACAGCTGCAGCACACACACACACCCCAATCCACACACACGCCAACCCCCACCCCACCCCTTGAGCCAATACACCCCCCTTTTACCGCCTTGTAATTGTGGATGAACATGCAAAGTTCTCGGCCTGATCCGGCATCGGGGTTGTGCTCAAAATAGTTGGGCAAGCTACTGCTCCAATAAATTATAACTAAATTTTAATTTCTGCATTTTTACGATGCGACGCGTTTAATAGACAAAGTTATCCGGCGAATTATAGGCGCAACCTTGATGGCATTTGGCCCACAAAAGGGAAATTGGCAATTAAAAGTGCATAAAATAAGCTAATTATACGAAATGATGTCAGCTAAGCGAAACCCATTAGCACAAGTGAAATGTCCTGATATGGCAGCGGGACAATTAAATAACAACAAATAATGCACGACTCGAAAGGATTTATTCGCAAAGAAACATGTGCTATATTATGGTGTCTGCACAGGAACTAATAGATATTCCTTTGTCATGCTCTAAAATTCTAAAAATATTGTCTTGATATAAATTGATTTTTCGTTGCTTTCACCCTTTTCTTAAGGCGTCTCTCTTAAGGTTTCTTAGTCTGGATTTGTGTGGACACACTGGCAGCTTAAGAGCTCAGCTTAGCTCGCACTCTCTGCCTCTCTCTCTCTCTCTCTGCCAAATATTAGGCTCTCCCGCTGCACAAATATTCAGCTCCGCTGCGACAAATAGAACTAATTGAGTTTGAGCTTTGATCCGTTATAAAATTGTCATCTCTCACGGCTTAAGCTCTGTTTGTGTGTTATATATTTGGGCACACTGGCAGCTTAAGAGTTCGATTTAGTGCGCTCTCTCTGTCTCTCATTCAGAGGCAAACTGCTATTTATTTAGCTCTCCCTCCCAAAGACTCAGCCCCGCCGATTCAACAAATCGAGCTGAACTAGTTGCAGCCTCCTCTCTCTGTCGGCACTGGCTCTATTTATGTGTAAGACTTCGGCTTGGCTCTTTCTCTCACCGAAGCGAGCTCTCTCACGACACAAATACTCAGCCTCGATTTGACAAATCGAGCTGTTTCAATTGAAACTTCGATCAGTCATAAAATTGTCGCCTCACGATAATAATGGATTTGTTTCTGTCAAGTTGCATTTTGATATTTTTATTTCTGCACATATTCGTCAAATTGTTACAGTGGATCGGTCATGATTTACGTTTTATTTATGGTCTGCTCATGTGCTGCTTCAGTCCATGTTTCGGGCTATGCAAAAAACTGTGCCAACTGCTGCGGCATTTATTCGAATTAGTTCTGGAGTAAATCGTGCGAGTTTGCAATGTACAAATACAATTTGTTTTTAATTGCAAGATATTTCAAATAATTGTTAAATTGTTGGAGTTTTTTTTTTTTTTTTAACAATAAAAGTCAAGAATTATAAGTTTTGTGGAATTTACGATTTCTTTTTAATTACGTAAGTATGTCATTAATTTTGTTTGTCTATTCAAATTTTCTAATTCGAACATGCCACAAAGTCATGATCTAGGCCAGACTTTGATTTGCTTCAATTAGTTTTTTCTGCATAAGAATCGCTCCACACATTCCACATTTCATTGAACTCAGCAATTTCTCGGGAACTTTCGAGCTCTCAAGAACGTTTTAACAAATAAAAAAAAATTCATTTTCAAGGAGTATTTTTATCTATATATATGTAATTTATTTGATTATTTTATTTATTTATTTTTTTATTTATTTATTTGAATATGATTTGATTTTTATTTTATTTATTTTTGTTATAAGTATCTAATATATAATGAATTTCAACAAAGATCTTTCAATATTTGTTTAATTAAAAAACAGTTTCATATGACTGTATTCCATCGATTTTCCACTTTTATGGGTGGAATGCTCTTCAACTGTTTAACAGTCCATAAAGTGACTAGAGTACAAATTTCCGCTTTCAGCTCTTGGAGTTTTGAGCTGTGCGCAAATTATCAATCAGTCAGTCAGTCAGTCAGTCAGTCAGCCATTCAGTCAATCTGTGTAGCAGAGCAGAGTCCTTTCTGACTTGCCTGCTCCTGATTAATGTCACCCACACATTATTTCAGGCTGCCTACGAATGTGCAACAGTATCGTTGGGTCTCCCCCGCCCTCTCTCCGCTCTCTCTCTCTCTCTCTCTCTCTCTCTCTCTCTGCCCTCACACCTCCCCTATCGACACCCTGTCTCATAGTTTCCGTAACTAATCGCTAAAATCAGCAAATGCGAAGCTGAAGCTTGCAGCCAGCCTTTGTTGCTAGTCTGAACACGCAGTCATAAATTTAATATGACACCTACAAGAGTTTCCATGCATCAAAGTTCTCTCATTTTCCAGCTCCCCCCTCTCTGTCTCTCTCTCTCTCTCACTCCCACTCCCACTCTGTCTCGCTTGTGAGCTGCGTGACGCAGTGTTGCCAACTGCGGCTTCAAAAAAGAGGCCAAGCAATATGTGCAAAAATAGCTAAAATAGCTGATTAAGCTTTTTTAACATTAACAAGCAATTGTGATTGAGAAGAACAAAAAAAAGCTAAATCAGTTTTAAATTTCAGTTGTTTTCGACTGACGAACTTCTAATTTACCTGGAAACTAGCTGAATGGGTATTACAAGCTGCTAGTGCTGTTTATATAGCTACAAATATGGCTAAATTTGATTATAACATTAATTGGGCAACACTGGCGGCTAGTATGCCATAAATAAACCAGAAAATAGCTAAAATTGTACAACATTTTAGAAAACAGCCAAATTGATGTTACTTCTTGTTTTCGTCAGACAAGCTGTGAAAAAATTTAAATTTAACT